CAATAAGGTGGAGAGTGTGGAGGTATTGGCCCCACGGGCCAAGGCAGCCCTCTTCTACTTTGTTGGGCCTGTTTGCTTACCTCTTGCCCTGGCCCATGTTGTTCTGCCGCTAGCCCTTCTTCTGGAACCCTCCTTTAGGGCTTCCCCTCTAGCCCGGGTACTTAAGCCCCTCTACGCCTTTGGTTGACGTAGAGGTCTTCGGTTAGAGAGAGAGTGAGGTTAAGAGAGAAGTGAGAGAGACTTATGTCTCTTCTCCATTCCGGTCCCTCTGTGGTATTCTCTCTGTGCTTCCCCTTTTCTGACCTTTGGCGTGCGTTGAGATGGCTGGGCTGGCCTGAGTGTTCTTGTCCCTTCCGGTGGTGCTTTGGTGTGTGTGCTGTATGAGCGTGGTCTGAGCTGGAGAGGTGAAAACCTGACAGGAATCGAACCGCTGACCATTTATAAATCATGTGTAGGAACCTATCAAACCGAACTGAACTGAACCAAATTTTAACGATTCAGTTCCAACGGTTTTCTGATTCCTAATTTAAAAAGTGCACCCCTAAAATTGCCAATATCCAATAATATATACGCAAGTACTAGTAGTATTTACTTGGGGAAATTGACACATCTAAAAAATGTGGTCCAATTCTCGTCCACATATATTAAAGCTATGCAGTTACGTTAACCACTTAGAGCAACCATAAGGTTATTCTTTCTAGTGAATTGAAGATACAGAGTGCCAAATTATCAATTGAGATTTTGTGTATTCCTTTTATTTCCAATGCTCTTGAGTCTCTTGTTTAGTTATGACGAGTAGGTAAAAAAAGTTGAACACTGAAAAAACTTGTGAGAGTGGAAAGCCTGATTAACTTCAAGACATGGACAAATTGCACCAAGCGGAGGCAATTTCTCGAGACATCGTCTCTTGGGTTTTTTTTTACTAAAGAAGATGAAATTAAAATAGATTAGATCATATATTGATTCTTAAATGTAAAAGAGTATTACTGCGTATGAGATACTAGCTCACTCTTCCTAAGATTGGAAAAAAAAGAGTGATGTGATTATTAAGAAAAATCGAATTGTGTAATTAGTATTGAATTCGTAAAGTGTAATGAAGTAATAATGAGAAAATCGCCCAAATATCATCAAATACGTAGTACGATATGAGATCAACTTAATGTGTCAAATAAAAAAGATAAAATGGGACAAAGGTACACACAGAGAGTACGAAATTATGGTATGTGTAAGAAATAGATCAGAATGAGGTACTCTATCCTAAAGAGGAGTGATCGTAGATTAGCTCGTTACAAAAAAGCAAAAAACTATGCTCTCCCCAATTTCTCCATCCTATAATGAACTCTTATTATTTTAACTTAGCATGAAGGTAAGAAAGTGAAAATTGTGTAACATTATGTTATACAAGGAGAGAGTTTTTTTAAGAAACAAAGGAAAGAATTATGATATGAACTACAGAATATTTTTATCATAAAAGAAAAAGAATTTATATTAGAACAGATTAAAAGCTAAGGAAAGAATGAAATTTTTTTGACAGAGAGGAAGTATGTAATATAACACTCTCTCCCTCCATTTTATGTGTCTTACTTTCCTTTTTTGTTTACCCTATAATAAAAATTTATTTATTTTTTTATAAAAATAAGTGGTTCATATTATTATATTTTATTCTACTTAAATCACCACAGTAACTTTTACTTTTTTAATATTTTATTAATATTTGTATCAAACCAAAACAAATGTTATTCAATCAGTACTCTGTATTATATGTGTGTGTACAATATTCTACATGCAAATTAAATGAAATAATAATTAAATAATTAAATAATTAAGGAAACATGTATAATTACTTGTAACCGAGCACAACTTAAGCGTTGTTTCCTTAAGACGTTTTTGCTCGACACACGTAGCAATCGTCTCCCAGGATAGAACGGTTCTTCGCTCCCAACGAGATTCCGGCGAACTCAAAGATGCAACAAAGGAAGAGAGAATATGGAGGATTGTGTGATGATTTTCGGATTTTTTGAAAACGCTGGCTGTCATAGGTATATATAGAGCTCTGGCCAGGAGACTCTACACCCAAAAGACACATTTAGAAAGAAAGGTTGTAACTCTCCTTCTAAAAACAATGGATGTGTCTATTACCAAACATTATCCAAAATTGAGAGCGACTAATAGAATTATCTTTAAGTCATATATTCGGGCAGACGGTTTAAGACTCTAACCCGAAACCCGAAACCCGGCCCGATCCGACCGACTGACGGCGACAGTGTGTGCATGTTAAAATATAATTTCACGCTTATCTTTCGGGGAACAATTTCTCATTCATTTTAAAATGGTTTTTCACAAATAATATTAGTAATATTAATTTGTAAAACCATTTTCCAACATAATGAACTCTTATTATTTTAACTTAGCATGAAGGTAAGAAAGTGAAAATTGTGTAACATAAGTTATACAAGGAGAGTATTTTTAAGAAACAAAGGAGAGAGTTATGATATGAACTACGGATATTTTTATCATAAAAGAAAAAGAATTTATATTAGAACAGATTAAAAGGAAAGAATGAAATTTATTTTGACAGAGAGGGAGTATGTAATATAACACACTCTCTCTCCATTTTATGTGTCTTAGTTTCCTTTTTTGTTTACCTTGTAATAAAAATGTATTTCTTTTTTTAATAAAAATAAGTGGTTCATATTATTATATTTTATTCTACTTAAATCACCACAATAACTTTTATTGTTTTAATATTTTATTAATATTTGTATCAAACCAAAACAAATGTTAAGCAATTAGTACTCCATATAAAATATGCTATTATATAATATGAAGTATTTGTACTTCATACTCGCACCAGTAGTACAGTTGATCGAGTGGTGGAAAAGTTGGATGATTAACCAAAAATCAAAACTCACAAGAACATGTGAATGTTACATCTCTTGTGTGTTGAGTTGGTCTTATGATGCGCACGATTACAAAATTTACCACCATTGAATTGGTCGAGTCACCGTCACTTATAATCTTTGAAAAGCTTTGGGATTCAACCTTGGAGTATTTGTACTCGGTATGACTTTATCTCGTTGGCCAATTCGTTCTCTCTCCGTGGCCCCATGCCTCCTCATGCCCATCACTTCACCTGATTCAGTATGCCTCCCAATTCATGTATCTAATGTTTCAAGCTTTTTCCTCCTCATGTTCTATCCTAGCCGACTATGGTTACACGTTGAGACCTTGATATTTCTTCAAAAAATCCACAGTGATCCGTACAAATTACAATTCAAAAAAATATTGGCGTGAATGTATTTTTTGTTGTGCTGTATAATTAGAGTACATATTATTATATTCTAGTTCGATTCCAACATCTTTAATTGGAATAGATTATGACTTTGTGTGTTCTTTTTTGAATGTGTCATAGTGATTTTTATGAAATCGAAGTATAAAATACTTGAGAAGGTGTGTTCAATATTTAATTGTATTTGTAATTAGAAATCTAGGGATGTAACATTAATAATACTAGATAATAAACTATTAAACGATTAGTCCTCCCGCCATCACCTAGTCATAATGATTCGTCAACACTGACTTGCCCGTACACCAATGACCTCAGGTGTTGAGTGACCCCGAGAACTCAGTGACCTTTTGGCATTGAGTATCGACAATGACCCATCAGTGGCTGAGCTAGAAATAACAAGTTAAGAGGGTCTGGTTTAAAGAATTTATATTGTACAGCCAAAAGTTAATATTTCACTATATTTTTTACTGCTTATAAATATTTACTCCGTATAAAAAAATGTATATGCATCACAAATTTTTTTTGTTGGTCTCTCCCTCTCTCCACCCCTGTGACCCATCAACACACCAACACGGCAACACCATACGTTTCCGCCAACTACATTGGCATTGGTGGCATGGCTTCTGCACACCAATGACTTCCAACACCTACTTGAATTTACTGATTTGAATTAGTTTGCTTGTGAAAAATTACTCTCATCTAATCTTTGTCTATAAGATTCATATTGGAAGGAAATAAAAATACGAGTTTATGAGGGAAATAGAGATTTTCCTATTTACATCAATTAACTGATTTGATAAAATCTGTACAATAATAATAAAAGCACAAAGAAACCACTTAGAATCATATCATATCTCAACACTTCCCCTCAAACTGGTGCATAGATATCATATGCATCAAACTTTTCAAAAATATATCTTATCGTCAAACGTCAAAGTGACTTAGTGATGGAAAAAAAAGTTAACTGGTCATTTGAATTGACAAAGGATGTGAAGATTTCTCTAAAAATGACCTTTTCATGAATAAAATGACAATCAATTTATATACGTTTTGTCCGTTTTTGAAGAAGACGGGGTGATAAGCGATGTATAAAGCTACATGATTGTCACAAATCAGTTTCATATGCTTCACCTTGTAAATCCTTATATAAGACAATAATTGCTTCAATCATATAAATTCCCTAGTAGTAAGAGTCATGACCAAGCAATAACACTCTATTTCTTGCTCTTTCAACAGACTAGATTTCCACCGATAAGAACACCCCCTTGAAAATTATCTCCTATCATTTGGACAACTGGTTCAATACGCATCTGGATATGCAGTAATATTGTCACAACCTTGATTTACATAAACTAATCCTCATACAAGTGAACCCATTGATGTATTTTAGAATTCGAACAATTGCATCCCAAAGACTTTCACATAGCATCTTGAGGAATTGACTGGCCACACTCATATAAAAGGAGACGTCTAGTCTAGTCATAGTGAGATAATTAAACTTCCCCACAAGCCATTGATTTCTTCCTGAATCAGAGATGGGCTCCCTAGGGATGGACCCGGGCCGGTCCGGGTCCGGGCAGGCTTTTTTTGTAGAATCATGGGCCCGGAACCGGCCCGGGGTGATACCGGGTCCGGGTCGGGCCTACCCGACCGGGTTGTGGGCCGGTTCGGGCCGGGCCCAGGCTATTTTTTTTTTTTAAATTCAGATTAGTTGGACATAAAAAATTTAAACTGTATTAATTTGAAATATGTAGTACAATTGGAAATTGAGCAAAAATTACAACATGAAATACACTTTTTAATAAATAAGAATCAATCAGAATTTCCGCCATCTTCAGTTGTTTCTTCCATAAAGTGGCGGGTGGGTTCAATGCTAATTTCTTGAGTTCTACGTTTGACCTTCAACCAATCGTGGAAGCAAACAAGCGTCTCAAGAGAGTTTGCGCTCAATCTCGTTCTATAATCCGTTAGGACGTTGCCGGCCGCACTAAACTCTTGTTCCACAGCAACTGTTGATACGGGCATTGCTAGCACTTGCATAGCCATCTTTGATAAGATTGGGAACGTTCTCTCTTTTTCCTTCCACCACTGAAGATCATCAAAGTCATTCCCTTCTTCATACTCAACATGAAATGTTAGATACAAAGAAAGCTCGTTGATCGAGCTTTGTTCATTAACCGGAGTTGATTTACTTTTTTTCATAAGATTGCCAAATGCAGATTTCAAAATTGATTTTCCTTTAGATGAAGAAGATGTTCGTGGCAGGGGAGGGGGTGCGTTACCATATTGTGCATGAAACTCATTAAATAATTGATATAATAAATTACTAACCTCTTGAAATTGTTGTTTCGGTTCTATAGCCTTGTCCGGGCCGGGCCAGGCCCGCACAGTGGCGGGCCGGGCCGGTTCAGGGCCGGGCCTGCCCGGTTCGGTCCATCCCTAGGGCTCCCTATGATCCAACAAAAGTTGAACATTTGGATCAATTGGAGTATCATTTGGCTTACAATATGTCATCTCAATATCCTTCATAATATCAATTGCATATTTTTTGGATATGACAATGCCCATTTTGGATTTAGCTACGTCAATTCTAAGCAATTCCAAAAAATATCGAAGTCATCATCACAAGTCTTTTGTTTGAAATTGTTGGGACAAGTACAATTTGAGATTCTTTATACAACCATGATTATCCCTAGTTATTACAATACCATTGTCATAAAAAATAAGGTAAGTAGATTGATTAGATAAATATATTTTATAAAAGACAGTGTGATCTACTTTGCATTGAATCATTCCAAATTGTTTGAGAGTCATATTGAATCTATCAAATCACGTTCATGGGGATTGTTTAAGACTATATAAGGCCTTATGCAACCAACACACATAACTACACCCCCTGAGCAACAAACATAGGTGATTATCGAGAAAGAATGCATTTTTATGTCCACTTGATGTAAGGGTATGTTATACATAGCTGCCATAAGGCATAGATAAGAACAAACATACAGAAACTATCTTTGCAACTAGAGAAAATGTGTCACCATAACCTAAGACGAGAATTCGAGTAAACCTTTAGCAATCACTTGTCCATCAGGACTAGGGGTGGACTCGGGCCGGGCCAACCGGCCCGGAACCGGACCGGCCCGCTACTGTGTGGGTCCGGCCCGGAACGGGACCGGTCCGCTACTGTGCGGGCCCGGCCCGGTGAACCGGTTCTGGGCCCGGTTCGGGCCAACCGGCCCGGTGGGATGGCGGTTCGGGCTCGAGCCCTTCAAATGGTGAACCGGCCCGGGTCGGGCCAAATTTTTTTTTTTTTTTTTGAATTTTTTTAAGTTTTTGGGTTGGGCTGGGTATTTTGGGCCATTTGAGGTGGTTAGGGTTGGTTTGGGGGTGAGGGGAGGGGTGGGTGTTAACTAGGAAAAGCCAAAAAAAAATAGAATCGACTCAGGGATGGATTCGGTTCGGGCCACCCGGCCTGGCCCGGTACTGTGCGGGCCCGGGACTGGCCCGGTCGGGCGGTCCGGGACCGGGTCTGGGCCCGAACCGGGGGGAAGGGGTGGGGCGGGCTCGGTTCATCATTTTTGTGACCCGGCCCGGCCGGGTCGGGCCCGGGCCCGGGCCCGGGTCCGGGTCTATTTTTAAAAAAAAAACTTTTTTTTTTATTTTTGGCTACTAGCCGTTGAGGCCTTGGGGGTGGGGCTGGGGACAACCCAAACGGCTATATAGCCGTTGGGTGGGGTAAAGGGGGGGTCCGGGGGGGGTTGGCTGGTAGGGGGTGGGGGTGGGGGGGTGGGGGGTAAAAAAACCTATAAATTCTCCTACTCTTAAACATTTTTTCATATCTCTTCTCCAATTCTTCCTAAATCCTATTCTTAACTCTCTACTCTCTAATTCTCTTATTCTCCAATATATTATATATCTACTCTCTAATTCTCTTCTCCAAGAAGTTAAGATGGAAAATCAAAATGCCATTATACGGTATAATTTTGATAAGCAGAAGGACCCGAAGACCGGGATGTGGTACGCAATTTGTAAATGGTGCGAAAAAAAATGTATTATGGGGGCTTCAGGCGGATTCGGGATGGCAATCAAGCATATGAAGTCATGTGACAAAGCCAAAGGATCGGGAGGTGCGGGAAGTTCCGATTGATTACAATTTTCAAAATGTTTATCTCTTAAAGTTTGTTTTAATTTTCAAATGTAGTTCCTATTTCTTTTCAAATAAATGCAATTGAAGTTTGTTTTTAATACTCGTATCAAACTATAAACTATAAAATATAAAATATAAATTATAAAAAAAAAAATTAACCGGCCCGGCCCGGCCCGAACCGGACCCGACCCGTGACCCGGGCGGGTGGCCCGGCCCGAACCGGACCCGTCCAACCCTCGGGCCGGTCCCGGGCCCACTGTTCTTGAACCGGCGGCCCGACCCGGCCCGACCCGGCCCGAATCCATCACTAGAATCGAGGTCCGGTCCGGACCCGAGGGTTACCCAGGCCGGTTCCGAGCCTCCCCTTCTTGAACCGAGGCCCGGCCGGGCCCGAACCGGAACCGGTCCATGCCTAATCAGGACCAACTTTGATTGAAAACAGCCAAGAGCAACCAATAGTAGATTTCCCATCAAGCAGTGGAAGAAAAGATCAAGTGCAATTAATTTCAAGGATAATCATCTCATCAAGTATAGCTTGACGCCATTCTGGATGGGCAATAGCTGAGTAGATAGTTTTGAGAATGGAAATAGCAAAGTGAAAGACATAAAATATGGGAAGGAGATAGATGAAGATAAGTTAGACAATTGTAAACAGGGTGCAAGTTCCATGTGGAACATTTACCTTTTCGAGTTCAAATCAAGTTGAATTGATGCCTCATGTTGGGTCAAAGTAGGTGAAGGAGATGGAGCAGGAGATGAATCAGCAAGTCATTATTAGAGACATCCTCACTAGATACAGACTGTGATACCCGCTAATAAGTAAAGAGAGGTTATGGAGAAGACAATGGAGGACTAAGAGGTGACAATGAAGTAAGACGAGGAATAGACAAGACCTAAGCGTAGGCATGGACTCCGGCCAGGCCGGGCTGGGCCGAGCCAGGCCTCGAGCCGGGCCGAGCCTCGAGCCGGCTACCTTTTATTTATTTATTTTCTAATTACTTCCTACCCCCCTCCCCACCCCTCCCCCACACACCTCAAACCCCTTCAAAACACCCAGCCCAACCCATTTACGGCCCAAAGATTTTGAAAAACATAAAAAAAAATAGCCCAACTCAATGGGGTTGATTCATGTTTTTGAGACCCGGAGCCTGTCCCGAAACAGTACCCGGCCGGTTGACTCGGCCCAAGTCCAACTCAAAGAAGGTGATATATGCAAAAGCTTTTAAAAATGGAATGATCTTAGAGTTAGAGATAGATTTAAAGCAAAACTGGACTAAAAATGAAAAATAAAAATAAAAAATTACAAGATCTAAACAAAATGTGTTATATTTGTAGGGAGTAGGGAGTAGGGACTAAAAATGTATTGAAGCCAAATATTAAATCCGAACTATGCAAAACTGGACTAGTACCTAAGAGGGTTAGAGGGCTAAAATGCATAGCGTAAAAGATGATCAAGTATTTGCTGAAAATTCCCTTGAAGTAAGAAAAATAGCATAGAACGATGTAAAACTGAATGTGGGCTAGGCAAAATTTAAATACTAATTTCATTACAGAAAAAGAATTCCATACAAACACACACATATGCACACACTAGACTCTACTAAAATGGAATCTTTGCGGACTTCAACTTCAACTTCAACCAGTACTAAAAAGTCCCCAATTGTGCACTTTAAAGCTGGAAACCGCAAGTTTAAAGACCTCAGACATTGGCATACATCCAGCTTGCTCAGCAGGAACAGCTATACCAGCCCCAACTGTGCTTGCGCTTTCACTTAACGAGCTACCATAAAAAACCATAACAAATCATTTACAAAATGATATATTGAGAACCAAGTTTCTGACTAAGAATATAACCAAACAGTTAGGGACTGAAGGAGCATCTTCTTCCTTACTTGATTACAATAGGTTCATATGCTGTGATCAGAACATCAGTGGTAACTTCCTTAAGTCGCACATTTGCCAAATAAACCTGTAATGAAAAAAAATGTCTTAGATCTCATTTTGCAAGTCTAGTCATTTCGCCGAAGTAAAAATTTGAGAAACTCACCTTGACCAAGTTTTGTGCTTCCCTCCCTTGCCTTCCCTTTGATATAGCCTGCAAATGAGTACTTGGATGTATGACATACTGGATATATATTACTAGTGTTAAGGATGGGATTAAAAAAATCAAAAAACAACAAAACATTCACAAAACAACAACAAAATCACTGAAGGGTTATCATATTTTATATTCCTCATAGCAGCCAGCTTGGCAGAAGACATTGAAATATACTACCTCTGTCCCATTTTATGTCTCACTTTGACGTGGCACAATTATTAATAAAGTGGTTGAAAAAGTAAAAGTTGTGGTTAGATTTGACTATAATAAAGTGAAATGTTATAGACCACGTGTTTCTTTCCAAAAGAGTAAATGTGACACTTATTTTTGAACAACCCAAAAAGGAAAGTAGGACAGGTAAAATGGGACGGAGGGAGTAACTATTAAGGTTCAATCTTTACGCATGAGTTAACATAAAAATCTATAAATCCAGATCTCAAAACATGACAGTTTGTGAGTTTACTATTTTATTAAATGTTTACTATAGAGTGATATTCTAAAAGTCAACCAAAGGAAACACAAAAGCGTATTTTATTCGTGTAGATGACTGATCTCTTTTCACCATTTTTATCCTTTTATCTTTTTTATCTTATTTACGTTTTTTATCCTTTTTATTTTATAAATATTCTTTTTATCCTTTTTATCTTATCACTTTTATATTTATCTTTATCTTTATCTTATCCTTTTTATCTTTTTTATCTTACCTTATCTTTTTATACTTTTTATCTTTCTTATCTTTAGTATCGGGGTAAGTCTGCGTACATCCGACATTCCGACCCCCTTACCCCCACTATAGGTGGAGCCTTTGCGGCACTCGGGTAATGATGATGATATCTTTCTTTCCTTTTGGCTCCAATATCATGTATCGATAACCGGCCCCAAAATCTTTTGGGATTAAGGCTTGGATGTAGTTGTTCTTGTATAAGAAGAATAACAGTTATACAAAATCAGCACATTTTTATATTAAAAAAAAAACTGAAATGTTTGTCAAGAGAGCATCAATTAGAATAATATACTGGGTAATGAACTATTTGAGATCGATGTAATGTTGATCATTCTCATGATCTCATCAAGTCAGATTAAGTAAATACCATAAGTAGAGAAAACAACAATAATGACCAAAAGTGGAATTTTTCTTTTGGGAGTATCAAAATTTTATTAACACTACCTGAGTGAATAAATATGTCTCATTTAATCCTGCTTCAAGGTTTGGTCAATCTGCCAACAGCGCTTGAAGAATAAAGGGTGCATACTACATGCTTAGGTATAATTACCCTACCCCAAGGATGTTAGATACACCAATTTCAGCAGATTAATTTTGTATATAAGCCACTGGAATGCTGAGGAAGTTCTCAGATTCCTTCAGGAATTACAGATCAACGTAAGAATTTAGCACAGTACAGAAGAAAGAGAAAGAAGAACAGACTGAGACACTCCCAGTTCCCCAGATCAAAGGCCCAAGTTCTGCCTGCCCGTATTCTGCTCCCCAACCCTTATTTATTCTTTTCCATTTGGGCTAACCCAGTCCTATTTAATTCAGGGCCTAAACCCCTTTTATTGTACAATATTAAAAGACTTAACATTATTCTTATCAGTAGTACTATTTAGGTCTCTATCATTACCCCCCCTTTGACAACCACCTTTGTCCTCAAGGTGTGGAGTAACTGAGTAAGAAATAGCCATGCCAGTATGCTTTATCCTTGCTCCTCAGCCTTCCCACTACTTCAGCTCGGACAGTTTTCTTCGTTTTGGTATCTACTCAATCTCTTTGTCAACATAGTGATCCTTCTGGCCATGGTTGTTCTCTCCTTTACTGCCCCATGTCTGATCTCTTACAGAATCTCCAATTGAGAATACAAAGTCAGCTTCGGGACTGTAAGTCTCAGTCTTCACTTCAGCAACCCAGGAAGGTAAGACAGAACTCAGCACACTGCCACCAGGCCCACTCCATGTGCACAAGACTTCTCCCAGCAACTGCATCTTGTGCCCCTCTTCCCTTGTCTCATGATTAACAGCACATTTGTACCTTACATGGTACAATATGTTTGCTGCTTCAACTGCAGGTTTCCCACAATGTTTATTACCAAAGATCACATCAATCCAATGGTGAAGATTTGAGCTAACATATTCATTTTCAAAGGTCACCCTGTGCTTGCTTATAACTCCTATAAGAAAACCATTAACCCCTCGAAGGAGCACAACATCACGTATTGACTCTCCATCTTGTTTTGGACTTGGTGCTCCAACTGGTTTTGCAAGATCCCGGTAAGTAGACGATTTGATCAAAACCAGAGTTTCTAATGGACCCTCAGCCAGAACCCAAGCAGACAAAGGACACTTAGTTAACTTATTATAAGATCTTCCAGCAAGTGTGTTGAGAACCATCAAGTACTCAACGTTTGTAATCTCTTTTCTCTTCCAACTTTCCCTAGAGATTTCACCCGACAGGAATTCAAGAGCAAACTCATCAGCCCCTTTCAGTCCCAACTCAGAAGAGTCCCGAATTGCAGAAGGTACCAAATTGCAATTCTTTATGGTCATCCTATACTTGACATCTGAATGAGTGAAAACTGATCCTTCAATAGTTCAATTGCACTAATCTGTGGATCATTTCCCACCCATTTCTTTTCCCAGGCACTCAGGTCTAAGACAACATCTGCACCCAAAGGAGCTTGGCCCTGTCCTTCAATATCAGCAACCCTCTTCTCCAAAGTCACATGGATCGCGGTACGCTTCGGTACGCGGTACGAAAACGGGAATGCAGATCGCTAAAATTAGAAATCCGATACGTATGAGGGTAGGCTTCTTCGGTACGTGGTTCGCTGTACCCTTTGTTTATGGTACAGTGAACCATAAACATAATTAATACAAGTATAATATTAAACAATTAACTTCTATAACTTCAATAACATTAAACAAACTTAACCATGTTTGCAACAACAATAAAAGAATACTGAGTCAAAGTGAAGGACTAGAGTAGTAGAGTAGAGTCAGTAGACTAAGTAGTAGAGAAGAGGTGCAGAGAGTTTGATATGCTGAGTACTGAGGTAAGGCCTTAAATAGTGAACTGTGAGTGAACTTGCGGTCTTGCGTCGTTTCAAGTGCGTCGTTTTGAGTGAACAGAAGTGTGAAAGTCTGGAAATACAACCGAACAAGTGCGTTGTTTCATCCTCCAAGGTCGCCGACCTTTGTTCTGAAGAAATTGCTGGAAGCTTTGAGTGGCCTGCATCGTTTGCAACTTCAGGTCTCCTGCCTCGTTTGGCATGCCGGAACGAGTGCCGGAAGATGAAGCCTTCGAACCAACATCGCGCAATACGCGAACTACCCAATCGCAGTCGCGTTCCGCAGTCACGAACCAAACGTGTACTGTACGTGATTGTACCGCGATCCGGTACGCGCGATCCGGAACGGAAATCGCGGGTAGTTCTGCGATCCCTGTACCTATGCTCTTCTCTCTCCATCTGCTGTTAGCAAGTTGTAGAGCACTGTCACCCCTTTCTAGTAATATATCTGTTCCCACCCCAATTTCAGCAAATAGAAATTCTGAAAGATAATTACACCCTGCACAGAATCTGGCCACCACAAAGCATCTCCAATTAAAATTACAAAGTCAGCTTCAGCATCGATTTTGACTGATGGATTTGGTTAGCTCTTCCCTATCCACGCTTTCAGAAACCTTATCTCCTGCAGCAATAATCTCTTCACAGTGATTGATCTTGTTCCATTCTATCATCATTCCAAAATCAAAATAAGCAAGAGGTCCATCCTTAACAGCAAACCCGGGAGGTTTCATATCTCCCCTACACAAGCAAACTGCCTGTCCCATGCCTACAGCTGCATAAGTTTCGAGAAAGGATTCAAGCATCTCCTTGGTTGGGCTAGGATGACACATTATTAGCGAGTAGGTAGTATACTGGTTCATAATCTTTTCAGCAACAACATTATTGACTACTTTCAGTTGTTCAAAATCATAACCTTGATCATAGCTCAACCTCATATCATCATCATACTTGTCACGGCGGTAAGTCAAGTCGCGGCGCCAGCCGACCGTCATATTGCCTAGGCGATAAGGCGCCCGCCTAGGCGACAATTAGGCGGATAGTCGCCTATATATGTATAATATAAAATATATTATATATAATTATATATATGATTATATATTATGTATAATATATAATACATTAATGGTTTAATAGTTTATTATAAAACTAATACGAGCATATCGGTATATATCACCATTCCCCAGTTCTGCACTTTATTATATAGCATATAATAAATAATAAATGAATGGTTTTATAGTTTATTATTAAACTAATAGTCTAATACGAGCACATCAAGATATCACCGGTAAAATAAATTAATGGTTTAATAGTCTATATCACCATGTTCACCGTTTTATATAATACGCAGTATAGAAGTATTGTAGTATATATATATACGCATATATTGATACCACTTAATTAATTAAAATATTAAAAAACTAAATCCACTACACCGCTACACAAGAAGCCAATAAGAGATCGGTGGACCTATTTCTGGTCGTCTGCTTCAAGCCTTCAACGACGGACCGGGGATGGCGACTGGAGAGACCGGCAACTTCTTCTGCTTCCTGAAGTTCTACGGTGCGTCTGGTCCTGTGAGTTCTTCTCTACGACTCTGCTTCTTAAGTTAGATTTGGGCTTTGTTTCTAATTAAAAGCCTAAATCCTTAATTAAATGAGTTTACTAAAAAATTAAACCTTAATTTACTCATTTTTGGGCCTGCGCAACGCGGACGGCTTTTCGACTGGGCAAAAGTAGGCGGCGACTTGTCGCCAACTTCACGCCTGGACGACGCCAACCTCGACTATTCTTCTTCCGGCGAGGCGAGCTTACCTGGCGAGCACTCTCCAGCACCTGGACGCCTAGTCGGTGCCTAGGCGACGCCTAGACGACGCCGTGACAAGCATGATCACCATAAGTAAGGATATCCGATTTACGCACTTCTGAACCTTCTTATTGTCTGATGAAAATCCTGTAGGTTGATTAACATCCTCTTCAGGGTCTGATTCCGTAACTGATTGTGCAACCGGCTTCAAGTTAGTGTTCCTTGTCGTTGGTGGAGTCCCATGTGGTCCCTTTTGTTAGTCCCTGTTTCAGAGATAATGATCTAACAGCAATGATATGATAAACACAGTAATACAAACAAGGGATCAGATAATGATATGAAGAAGATGATCGGTGAAACCCTCTTTGATATACCGTGAACTATTACAGAATGACGAGCGCTAAGGCTGATAGTTCGAATGCAAAAGTTGACGCAAACCTAAGCCTTATGCGCCTTTATATATGCGCAGGCAAGGTTTGCGCACAGGCTTTACGCCAGATATGGATCTTACACTTTGGCCCCATATCATTTACTATGCTAATAAATACAAAGTATAATTATATAACAGGCATAGTAAAGTCTAGACAATTACAAGACATTTGACAAACTTGATACACAATAAATATTCTTCAACACCTTTCCTGCTGCGACTAGGTCGAAGGTTCTGGAAGCGGATGAATCTGAAACAAGGAGAGGAACGACAATAAACAATGAGATGTGAGATACAACGAGTGAGTCAACCTGCGAACTGACAATATCTTCTCGCAACGAAGCGAGAGGACTAGAAGGAGTTGCTTGCGTTTGGGAAGACAGTTGCGAACTCAGAACAACTGATAGCCACGAAGTTTGTGAACTGTGAGGCACGGCTTGAGATGCCATCTGCGAACTGGTAGAAGCCCCTCGCAATGACGATTGGTGAGGTACGAGTAGCGACTGCGAACTGAAACTGTGAGACACTGCTAGCGACTGAAGAGACCTGCAGACTATGTAGATTACCTCGAGAGTGCGAAGACTTCTCGTTAGCAGCTGGAGATCGTCGCCTGTGAGTTTGCGACCTTCCCCTGGATTTCCGATGATTCTGGTTCTTCACCATTTGACGCAGCTCCGAAATCATTTCGTGCGTATTGCGCATCTCCTCCATGTTGCGACTGATCTTCTGCTCGAGGTGAGTGTTGCGCTCTATGTCGCGATCTATTTTATGCTCGAGATTATCCAGGCGACCTTCCATTTGTGATCGGGTAAACCTCATTCACCAGCTCAGGAGTTAACTGCTCTGATACCAATGTTAGATACACCAATTTCAGCAGATTGCTTTTGTATATAAGCCACTGGGGAATGCTGAGGAAATTCTCAGATTCCTTCAGGAATTACAGATCAACGTAAGAATTTAGCACAGCACAGAAGAAAGAGAAAGAAGAACAGACTGAGACACTTAGAGTAGTCTCCCTATTCTACTCCCCCAACTCCTATTTATTCTTTTCCATTTGGGCTACCCCAGTCCTATTTAATTCAAAGCCTAAACCCCTTTTATTGTACAATATTAAAAGACTAACATTATTCTTATTAGTAGTACTATCTAGGTCTCTATCAAAGAATCAGAAAAAAGGAGTCACTCGGAAATGGAAATATGTGAGTCCTTCCCATTTTTCTACAACAGAATGAGGAATACATACCATTTGACCAACAGCAGTAGAAATGACAGAAGGCAAGGCCCTGAAGCGCAGTCCAGGAACATCAAACACTTCTGACTTCTCAATTAACTGTATGTGCAGATTAAAGATGTGAATATCTCATGATATTCACTAAAAAGGTGAAATACTGAAATGTATTAGATATTCATGAAAGTAGTAGCACTGTTACAAGGTGCCAGGAATAAAACCAAGTTAGCTTGTCAGTTGTCACACAACATATATTCCATTAATGGACTCCACAACCATTTATTTCTGATAGTGAATTTCGTAGAAATCTCAACCTCTGTACCTCAAAGAATTCTTTTGATTTCAAGCATTCTTAATATAGAACTTTGGGGAAGTGACAGTTGACAAATAAGTCCTCACACCCACTAATGTGACTTTTCATGGTAATTCACAATTTTATTTTGAATCTACAGTTAAATTAGAAAAATATTACAGAGTTATTTCTATTAAAAAGTAAAAAGATTTCCCAGGCCTCTGTGTTATAGGTTATATCTCCATCATTAAAGTGAAGAGGTTCAGTCCCCCATATTGAAATATGGAGCAGGCACCACCTTTCCATAACCAGAGGCCGGGGAAGCATTTACTATGAACAGAGCCAAATAGGATAAGGCAACAATTCATATCAGGTGGTTCATGTCAACAAAAACTAAGCAGTAGAATGCAAGTATGCAACTCAAAAGTGATGAGCTAAAACTGCATAGTTGAACATAAGTTCACAAACAAAAGAAAACCTGGACACAGAATATAATTAAGATTTATAGTATGAAAAGAAACAAGGAATTACAATGGCTCCCTCTGCATCCTGCTCATTAGCAAGGTCCTGAAGAAACCAAGTGGCACTTCCATCATCCGCCACATCTTGCTTCAATTCAAGAAGCTCGAATATCAAACTCTCATCCCGGGCGGGATCCACAAATACCTCCTATCATTCATGAACAGAAAAAACATGCTTATTGTTACAATTAAAGTCCAGAAGTAGCATAAAAATATAACAATTTAAGACATGCTTTAAATTTAAAACTAGCAAACCTGATTGTCGGGAACTTGGCGTATAGTACTAATGTCCTGAAAATATGAATCCAAGAAACCAATTAATCCGCTTACACTCCAACACTTCAACAACCAACAAGGCGATTACTTTAGCAAAGAAAAATAATACTCCGTAATAAATTATGAAATTAGAAAAAATGTCAGACCTGGAAGCGACTGGGAAATGTAGAAGCGATAGCCCCACCAAAAAGTGAACGCGCTGAGTACATATCTGCAGGCATTTCAACAGAAAACGAGAAAATGATCGTCTACAAGAAGAATGGACCAGAGGCAGGTTATATGTAAAGCAAACAAATAGCGTACATCTTACGGACATCGGGATCGGTTTAAACCGGTTGCCACTCAAATATACCTCTTATGCTTCTATAAAGAAACAAATTTTAAATGAATAAAAAAGATTTTGAAAAACACCAAAAAAAAATTATAAATTTAAAATTCGAAATTGAACAATAAAAAATTAAAAAAAATACTTCTATCCAGCTCCTACTTTTATTATTTTTATATCACAATTTAATATTGTTGTATAGAAAATTATTTCAAAATTTTACTTTATATTTATAATTCTTTCGGAGAACTGTTAACGTATGAGTTGCAATGTAAAAAAATCATAAATGTTTTGTATTTTTGCACTATAAAATTACATATTTTGTATGACGAATTGACGATAAATAGTTTAAGATTACAAAATAATGTATTTAATTTTATTAAAATTAAACAAAACTAAAGAATGTTATTTCAAAAAATGTAACAATATGTTCAAAATTTTGGAACAAGACTAAATTCATTATTTATGAATTTGAATTGCTTCATTTACAAGGAAAAATAATAATTTTTCAATTTAAATTAAAGAGTTAATATTTTAATATAAAAATAAATCTTTATTTTTACCTTTAATTTTTTTATTTTTCGATTTTGAACTTTAATTTTATAATTTTTTTAAATTTATTTTAATTATTTATAGTCAATAAGGGTAAATTTGCTACTTTAATAGGAACATTAGGCGTACTTTTACACTTTTTAGGAGTACTTTTTCAATTTTAGACTATCACTTTTCACTTAAGTTATTTTAACAATTTTTATTTCAAAAATAGTCAAAAAAACTGAAAACCATATACACCAAGATCTTAATCGAGAAACAGGTCAATTGAGTACATCAGCTTGTATGAGGTGGAATAACAAGTGCACTATATTGCATCTGACATTCCTAAGTACATAAACCCGGTTATTTAGTGTTGATTGAGTACACTCGTTAGATTAACACGTTAATAAGGCTTAATTGACTAACAGAATGCAAATAGGTCAATTTCCTAGAGGTCAACGCCAGCCCTCAGTCCCTTGGTCAACTTCCCCTTGATTGACGTCATTGGCGTCATGCCGGCCCCTGCTGGTCGATTCCCCTTGGTCGATGCACCCCCGCAAGTCGACGCCCCCCACAGGTTGACCTCTAAAGGTCAACGCCAGAACCTTGGTCGATTTTCCCTTTTATGTGATTTAGCCAGTAGATGTTACTGACCTAATACACGAGGACAACTAGAGTTTCTTTTATTATTGAGGTGATGAATGATACAATACGATGTTTACAAATACTAAGTCCGTATATATAAGCAAACAATTAGGGTAAACTCTTAATTAAATTTTGGGCCTGATTGCCACAAAAAATAAGGCCCAGTTTGGGCTGGCTCTTGCTCCTTGTTTATTTGGATCCCAGATCTTAGTGGACTGAAGAGTGAAGCCTACAGCTCAACATCCCAAATAAAAGATATGGACAAGCGTATAACTCCAGGGTCGGTCATGTATGTCTAAAGGCCTAGAAATGGATAATTCATAATTGACTTAGCTTCTAAAAAAACTGTAAAAAATATTTTATGTCTAAGCTAACATTCATAATAATAATAATAATAATAATTCAGGATTTGACTTCCTCATGCAAATGAATTTTTCATTGAACCTTTTTCATTTTCACTTAATGCCTCTTTCTCTAATCTTCTCCTCTTTTTTCCTTCTCCCATCTAGATTCAACCATTTCTATTACATCTTGAAATTAATTAAATTTATAAATTTAATTACTACATATAATTGAAAAAGTTTTACCTAACAAATTACGTAGCATGTAGTATAACACTAACTGAAAATGCAAATTTAATTACATAACAGAAAAAACTAATCACTTAAAATTCGACAAGTCAACACATATGAACCAATCGCTATCGCCATAACACTGTTTGGCACTGTTTTGCACTGTTTTGCACTGTTTTGATGTAGCTAATTTGCCAAATAAGGAAGGGAGAAGAAGTGTGAAATTTATTTTGAACATACCCAAAATGGAAAGTGTGAAGTTTATTTAGGACCGGAGGGAGTATTTTTTATTATTTTTACAAGTATCGCTTTTTGCGAGAAAGCTACGCTTCGCTTAGCGCTTTCGTTTTTAAGCAAAGCCTAAGGTCATCGCTTTTGGACGCTTTTCACTTTAAAAAAGTTTGAGCGTGGCAGAGATGCGTATGTTGCGTTGGATGTGTGGTCATACCAAAAAAGATCGTTTGAGGAATGAGATAATCAGACGAAAGGTGGGAGTAGCACCTAAAGAAGATAAGATGCAGGAGTCTCGTTTGCGGTGGTTAAGGAGTTCCGAGGAGTACCTGAAGCCTGAAGGTGAAAAGGGAAGGGATGAATCGCTGAACGACTGAAAAGGGAACCACTGTCACCGCCGCACCAGATCTCCGAAAGGCAGAGAATGAGAGAAGTGAGGACTGATAAGCTCAGAACACGATATGGGGCGGGGCTGCAGGCGTCCAAGCTTCGGTAGTAGGCATGGCCGGATCCAGGAATGAGGGGTGTGGTGGACTAAGCAGTAAAAATTTTGCTGGCACACAAAAGGTTCAGCTTAGGACTGTTATTGAACTAAGATTTTTTCGAACTACTCGAGTTTGAGCGTGATTCCGAATTTAATTTAACGACCCGAGCTTAATTAACGAGCTTCGAACTCAAACACGGGCTAGATTTTGAGTTTGAAAAGTTATTCAAACCAAATTCGAGCATAGTCGTGTTCAGTTCGATCCAGATTTGAGCATATCGATAACTTGTAAATTATAGAATAGATTGTTTACTACCTTTGCCCACTTTTATTTAGTCAAATTTGACTTTTCAAGTCAAAGAATTTAAACTTTGAATGATTGTACATTTATTTAGACAGTGATACTGATAATATGAAAATGATATAAAAATGTTCTTTGTTAAAAATATAACTCTGTATCATAAAAGTATAAATTTATTAAGTTTCACATTAATTAATATATTAGTTAAAATAATGGATCAAGGTTTACCATATTTGACTGAAAAAGTCAAATATGGCTAAATAAAAAGGGACAAAGGTAGTATATCTTAAAATTTAAACTTTTTTAGTGCGATTTTATTAATTTATTAATGATTATTAAAGATTATAGTATTTATTGATATGATTATATGAATTAAAATACTTCTATAAAAGTATAAAATTATTAGGTAAAAATAATCGGTGTCTAAACAAGTTTAAAATTGAATTGAGATTTTTAATACTTTCTTACATGTCTAAACAGTAAAAAAATCATTCTATAATCTTTAATTGTATAATAAATAAATCATTCTCCAATCTTTAATCTATCTTTAATCATTATAAATAAATTTATAATGAATGAAGACTATTTTATTATGGGAAATTGCCCTAAATAGGAATAAATGGGGTTTGGAATTCCAAAATGTGACTACTATGTTTTTCTTCCAGATATAGGAGTTGTTACTAACATGTATGAAAAATCCTGCCATGATTGAAAAATATTGTCATTAATTATAAAAAGTACTTCTATGTTAAATGCACAGTATTGCAACTATTTGTGAGTCATGCTTACAAGATGGCACTGAATAGTGTTAGTCCTATTTCGAGAAGAAAAACATATCAATCCTATTTTGGAATTCCAAACTCCGTTTACTCCTATTTTGGGAAATCTCCCTTTTATTATCTACTGAAAAATTCAAGTAATAATCAAATTGATTCCCTAACCCTAAAAGGCTAAAAATAATAATACTGTTAGCGGTGTTAAACTAATAATCTAAAATAATCAAATTGATTTCTTAACCCTAAAAGACTAACAAAATAATAGATTAAAACCTAAAAGACTAAACTGTTACCTGGACTGAGCGGACTCCCTGGAGCAGTGGAGCTGGAGGCAGAGTCGGAGAGGAAAAACGGATGACACAGGGCTGATGTTCGCGTCTTTGTTGGTGGGTCTCAGCTCACAGGCACCACAGCGTTATCGTCACAACTCGCAAGCTCCGTCAATCGTTCTTCGACCTTCGTTCTTTCTGTTCTTCGCAGTCCTGAGTTCCGCGTTCTGCCTGTTCGCGTAAGGAGAGGAAGCGCAGGTAAGTCGAAAGGTTTGGGCTGTGGGCTGGGCTGGGAATTAATTCTAGCGTGGGCTGAGAATTAATTTTGGGTTGGGCTGGAATTAAACTATACCTATACTAATTTTAAAAAATAAACTTGGGCTGGGTTGGAGCCCACCCCTGCCCTCAAAGCCATCTGCCACTGGCGGTCAGCGAATGGCTACTCGGCGTTTTGCACTTAGGAGACAGGAGTTGGGGTTCATCGATCGCCCAGTCTGTATTACTCACTGAACCTTTTGCTCTTCCTAGGCCGTTGGGCAGTTGGCCTCGACAAAACTATTTGTTTTGGGCTGAAAAATCAACCTACTAATGCTTATGGAGTATAAGGACAATTCTAAACACATTCACAAAGTTGCTCCACAAAGTTGCAATTCACAACCACCTAATTAAATTCTAATAAATAAAACTATTTTAAATGTCCACTTTACCTTGATGCAAACGGTGGTCTATTCCCTGGAAATCTAGGGTTTGTTTCTCCGGTACCTTACCAGTGGTAGAGTGTTGTTTGATTTCAGCTTTGATCGGTGTGTCGAGGTGATTACTATCTGGTGTACTATGAGTGTGGTGAGTTGGAATTGTCGGGGGATAGGGAATTTCGATACGGTGCAGCCGTGCAGGTGTTGTCGGATAACATGCAAAAGAAACATTTGTCCTTAATTTTTATGATGGAAACAAAACTAGGACACAAAAGGTTATCAACAATTCTGGAGAAGTTGGGTTTTGTTTGAAATATTAGTGTGGATGGTGAAGGTCTGCGCGGTGGTGTGGTTATGGGATGGTTACCAAATGTGGAAGTTCAGATTATTGAAACAGATAGATATTTCATTGACTGTAAAGTTCGATTGAGCAGGGGGCAGCCGGAATGGAGGTTCACTGGGTTCCATAGCTATCCGAAAAGTGGCTGACATAGGTAGCCTTGGGCCTTGCTAATGAGGCTATCAACCAAAGGCACGATGCCATGGATGGTCGTCGGTGATTTAAATGATGTCATGTTTGAGTAGTGTGAGAAGAAAGGTGGATTGCCATAGCCAGGATGTAGATTGATGGGCTTCAAGCAGTGTGGGCGAGTGGATTACATAATCTTCTGTTGTGAGGATTCCAATGGACGTGAGAACGTGGTAAATCGAGTTACATCATATTGGGTAGAGGAGAAGCTTGACAGATTCCAGGTAAATGAGGAGTGGTTGGACTACTTTGAGGCAACTCAAACCTGGTCGGTGGAGGTTCCAACAAGTGATCACGTAGCTTTATACCTAAAGGTGACCAGAACAGTGGAACGTAAAGGGCCTCATCACGTTAAATTTGAGAATCAATGGATTGGAGAGGTGGAATGTCGGGAGATAGTCAAAGCAAGCTGGGCTGGAGGAGGTGGTTTGAGACAAGGGGATCCTCTCTCACCTTATTTATTTATTTATTTATTTATTTACTATGGCGGAAGAAGGATTGAGTTCCATGTTGAGAAAGGCTGAAGAGCAAGGAGATCTACACCAACTGCTGGAGTAGTAGTGGCTAGAGGAGCACCCAAGGTCTCTCATTTGTTATTTGCGGACGATAGTTTACTGTTCTTTAAAGCTTCAATAAAGGAAGTAGAGGAAGTTAAAAGACTTTTGGCTGAGTATGAAAGTCAATTGGGACAAGCCATAAATTATAGAAAGGTTACTTTGGCTTTCAGCCCGAACAAGAATATTAGAGCTAACTTGAGCAGTTGGTTTGGTATTGAACCAGAATGATAAAAAATATCTTATCTGGGGATGCCGTCCCTGGTGGGAAGGAGGAAGACCGAAATTCTTGGGTATATCAAGGAAAAGGTCATTAGTCGTATTAAATGTTGGAATAACATATTTTTGTTTGGTGTAGGTAGAGTTGTCCTATTTAAGAATGTTATTCAGGCAATGCCTACTTGTGAGATGAATGTGTTCTTGTTACCAAAGGAGTTATGTGAAGAAATTGAACAGATTATGAATGGCCACTGGTGGAAGAGAGCATATTTTACCAAGAAAGGGATGCATCGGAAGACGTGGAAAGGAATGTGTTTGCCTAAGGAAGTAGGAGGGCTTGGATTTCAGTGTCTTAGAGCATCCTCAATGCCTTTTAGTCTAGTCTATGTACATAATAACAAATGTCAAATAAAGAAAATGGTTTCTAACCCACGTAGTAATTGTGTAGGGAGTGGATAGTGATGAACCAAATAAAGTCTCCAATGCATTTTGTTATACGGACCATTAATTAAAACTGCCATGTCGAATCAATTGTATTAAAATAAAAGGAAATATCTATTTATCAACGGCTTTCGTACGAAGAAGTCTCTTTTTTTGCTGAGTCACGAAGTGTTGTAGCCTTTCTACATTGAAACGTCCCCCTTCACAGTGTTTAGAATTTTTTTTGACATGTCACCTAACTGTGTTTAACTCCGCCATGAGATCATTTTTTTGGTATCATGCATGTCCCGAGCCAAGATAAAGGAGGAGGGTGTTGTGGTAGGCGCGTGACAGCCAACAGTATCACTTAGTCACATCACATGACATGAATCGAAGTATGAATATCGCTACAGCTAGGTCATCGCCCGTAAGCGACGCGTCATCCCTCCGCCTGGGGGTGGTGTCAAATGGGCAAGGGCGCGTTACACTTCATAGGCCTGAGTGTGGTGATAAGAATGATAAGGCTGCTAGGTCGTCGCCCGGAAGCGATGCGCCACTCCAATGCCCGGGGATGGTGTCAAATATGCAAGGGCATGGTGGGGGTCGATGTGGGGTGAAGAAGAGAAGGCAGAGTGTTAGATTGCGCTTTGGGACATGGAATGTTGGCTCTCTTACGGGAAGATCATCTGAGATAGCTGAGGTTATGAAGAGGAGAAATATCAGCATAATGTGCATGCAAGAAACTAAGTGGGTTGGAGAAAAGGCACGCGAGATTAATCCCGGAGGTTTTAAGCTTTGGTACTCGGGGAGAGAGAGGAACAGAAATGGAGTAGGCATTATGGTGGCACATGATTATGTTGACGGTGTGGTTGAAGTGTTTAGGAAGAACGATCGCATCATGAGCATTAAGTTGATAATGGGGGATGAGATTGTGTCCGTGGTTAGTGCCTATGCACCACAAGTGGGATTGGATGCATCTATCACTCAACAATTTTGGGAGGATCTTGAGGAAGTGGTGCGACGAGTGCCAAGGGGAGAGAAACTGGTCATAGGAGGCGACCTCAACGGGCATGTGGTCCCAAGTCGTGATGGTTTTGAGAGTGTCCATGGCGGACATGGTTTTGGCACTAGAAATGAAGCGGGGAAGAACATTCTGGATTTTGCCTCGACATATGAGTTGGCTGTGATGAACACTTGGTTCAAGAAAAGAGACTCTCACCTTGTCACCTATAGAAGTGGAGCTAATAGTACCCAAATTGACTACTTTTTAGTACGGACAACTTGGAGAACTAGCTACACTGATTGTAAGGTTATCCCAGGTGAGAGTGTTGTCACTCAGCATAAGATGCTTGTGCTTGATTTCCGAGGTAAAAAGAGTGGACGAGTTAAGGTACAAGGGGAGCCAAAGATAAAATGGTGGAGGCTCGAGGGGAATCTCCAACAAAGTTTTGCACACAAAATGTTGGAGGAAGATGTTTGGTCTATTGATAATGACGCACACGTGGATGATGTGTGGTTACCAATGGAGTCCACCATTAACAAAGTGGCGAAGGAGATACTCGGAAAATCTAAAGGATGTCTGCCACCAAAAAAGGACACATCTTGGTGGAATGATGAGGTGAAACAAGCAATAAGGGCCAAAAGAGAATGCTATAAGAAATTGGGCAAAAGTTGGAGCGACGAGAACATAGAGGAGTACAAAGAGGCTAGAAGAAGAGCAAAGAAAGCTATGAAGGAAGCCAAAGGAAAAGTGAATAAGGAATTGTATGTAAAGTTGGATTCTAAGGAAGGAGAAAAAGATATCTACAGACTTGCTCGCCTTCGTGACCGTAGGACTCAAGATATCGGAAAAGTTAAGTGTGTGAAGGATGTCGATCAAAGGGTACTAATGGACGATGAAGAAATAAAAGAGAGGTGGAGGTCATACTTTGATACCTTGTTCAACGGAAATAAAGTCCAAGGTATTGATGATCTTACTATACCAGAGTGTATGGTAAATAGGGACTTCATGAGAAGGATTCAAACAACTGAAGTTTAAGAGGCTATGAGAATAATGGGCCGGAAGAAAGCAGTGGGCCCAGATGGCATACCGATCGAGGCTTGGAGAAGTTTGGGAGAGAAAGGCATCGAGTGGCTAACACATTTCTTCAACATGATTTGGAGAAACAACAAAATGCCAGTGAGTTGGCGGAAGAGTACTCTCATTCCCTTATTTAAAAATAAGGGTGATGTGCAAGAATGTGCTAACTATCGAGGGATTAAGCTTATGAGTCACACCATGAAACTTTGGGAGCGAGTGGTTGAGCAAAGACCACGTAAAAGTGTGAAAATTTCGGAGAATCAATTTGGTTTTATGCCTGGACGCTCAACAACTGAGGCCATTCACCTTCTTAGACAAGTTGTGGAGAAGTATAGAGACACTAAAAAAGGATCTGCATTTGGTGTTCATTGACTTAGAAAATGCATATGATAGGGTACCTCGAGAAGTTCTTTGGTGGGCCTTAACTAGAAAAGGCATATCACGTAAGTATATCAGCGTCATCATGGATATGTATGATGCTTGTACTACAAGTGTCCGCACTAGTGTAGGGAGGACTGCAGAGTTCCCTATTACTATTGGAGTGCATCAAGGATCTGCTCTGAGTCCTTTCTTATTTGCTTTAGTCATGGATGAACTTACGAAATCAATTCAAGAAGATATATCGTGGTGCATGATGTTTGCCGATGATATTGTATTGATTGATGAGACACAATCCGGTGTTAAAGCAAAGTTGGAAGTATGGTGACAAACATTGGAGAGCAAGGGTTTCAAACTGAGCCAAAGCAAGACTGAGTATATGGAGTGCAAGTTCGGTGGAG